GCTTCTGTGCATTATATAACACTCCTAATTTGAGAATACAGGACCAGCATCTCCTTAATAATCCGCTGGTGGAGATTTTGTAAGGATTATGTTAATTTTATAAACAGTTAAAGTTTCTTTCCTGTCGATTCTTAACTTCAACTTACTACTTCCGGCCAGAAAGTAGTTTTAGAATCACGTCTGAATGCTTAATGAGGAAGAGCGGTGTTTAACCGCGAAGTTCTGCGGTCTTAACGAGAGAGTTACCAGGTATTCTTTCTGCACACTTCCGCCTTTTTAAACTACTTTCTCGTAAGCTATTATTACGTTCGGCCGTATTTAAGGCCCTTGATAGCTTTGCAGTCTATTAATGTTAAGGGGCCAACTCAGTTAGAATCTTGATAGCTTCGACTATATCTCTTTAGTTTAGTTTAGTTTTAGTTTATTTTTAGCCTCTTAAGTTCAAATCCCAAGTGTCGGTTTTATTGTACACTCCAAGCGTGTGCCAAACTCGACAAATTGCCAAGATGCAACGGCAAATATTTTGCATCTTTGCAACGTTGTAAAGACGTCGTAAAAGTTCCCACGACCACTTTGCAACCTCTCGTACCAGTTTGCAACGTCGTGTGCTACTTGGGTAGCCTTTCCTCATATCGAACAGAAATTCTCGGGAAGAAAGTGTGTAGGGATCTCAAGAGCCAATCGAACACTCACAATGCTAAGGAAATACCAGAATATATCGCATGAGAGCTCTTTTCCTATTGCAAATCGGTATTGGATGCTTAAAAGACTCGAGATCAAATTCTAAGAACATTATAATCTCATGTGCTGCTGCATTTCTCATCTGCGTTTGCAAACAGCGACACGAGCAAGCGGCTTTATACCGAACACCAAACTAGGATACCACCTCAGGACCGCTATATACTTATTCTAAACCAAGGAGGGTAGAATATACCTCCTTCCTCTCTTCTAAGCTTCTTGTCCTAAACAAGATGTAAATGAGTCTTGCCTTAAGGCCTACTTACGTTAGAGAGACTCTGAGCCCATTAAACGCAAGGAGGTTAGAACAGAAAAAGGGAAGGTTCAACTCAAACCGTGCATCCTCGGCGCCATGTTACTGTAACTGCAGTGACTCGTGCAATGAAGTTTGTCATTGCAACATTTTTATTTTTTATTTTTGAAGCGTGGGATCTTGTCTTATATATGGATACACGAACAGATTTTCTAAAATGGATTACTTTTCGCGCCAAAGTAGTGATTTTTTTTAATGTAACTTGATAAATATGTTGAAAAATATTACTGTCATGTTTTTTTTTTCCCTAGAAGTGAAAAAAAGGACTTAATAATAATCAAAATATGTTAAATACATTTTTAATATTTCTGTTTATAACTGGTATCTTCGTTCCTTAACATACAATGGTATATGCTAGGAATTGAAACTGCATGATTTGAACGTTTTAGGCAATTCGTTTTATAATTTTCATGAAAAGTAAGAAATCAATTGTTACTGTTTTTATGAATTGTAAAGATGTTAAATAAAGTAATGCTTTTCTTTAAGTATTAATTGTTATTCATTTTTAACTTTTGTGAACTGTTACTAATATAATTTGTGCATTTGATCAAGAGAAACTGTTCTGTTATTAAATCTTTTTGCATAAACTTACAAATTTCTGAGCAGTATAGCGATAAAAGTAAGTAAAATTTACACAATTGAACATGTGGAAAGATGTATCCAAAATTTATACGTATATTTCTGTAATTCAGCTGAATTCCAGGCATTTCTTTGAGATTCATATATGAAATATGATGATATTTTTTCACTGTTGCTTTTTTATTCAATATCAGAGAAAGACATTTTCCCATTAGCGTAGAAATTTTCTGATCATGAAAGCATTAGAAATAAGTCGGAATTGAATTTAAATAAGTTTTTAATATTTTTAACTAGGAGATGCACTGAGCTGAGCAACCATCTAAATTTACCATCCCTTAATGAGCTGTCGCTTTTGACATGTACAATGTAAATCTATTTGCTGTTTATTTTTATCTCCATTTGTTTAGCATTTATATTTTCTGATTCCATGAAGTTTTTTCATTTACTGTACTTAATCAAAATTAACACTTTCCTCAGGTTTTCACAAAAACAATCTTTCCCTCAGCTCAAATACTTCTAAAAATTGATAAATGGATAAAAGTTACAACCTGTTTTTAAATTGAAATTAAGCATTGTTTAAATTTTTAAAGTATACCAATAAATGTTTTAAAAAAGGAAATACTTTTGCACCATTACATCTCCGAAATTAGCTATTACACAACTGCTATAGCCAATAAAATATTATTTGAATTTCTGTTTTAGTTATTACAACTTAAAGCTGAAGTATTGAAGCATACTAATAATTCCTTTCCTATCTCTTAATTCTGTATATGAATGATTCTTGATTAATTAGATACTCTTGTGTAAAATCAGAAAATCACTTCTTAAAAAAAAATTGGAAATGCATCCAACAGGTTCTAATAAAACCTAAACAATTCTTGAATATGCAAAACATCATTTTTTAAAGTCTTTAATGTTATGCATGCATTTAGATTTCGAACTATTTCTTAATGATTTTCTATACGTAGTAAATTGCGGATATCATATTTATAACTTTAAAACAAAAAATTAACAATAGCGAAGCATTTCATTATAAAGTTAAAAAATTTTTTTTTTGGAAAATACATGCACAGAAGAGCTTAGAAACACGTACATTTCAGACAGACAAAGTAGACAGATGTCTTGTTTTGCACCCGATAAGACTTCCTGCACCGATGGGCGAAAAATCAAGCTTAGGTACGAAGGAAAGGTATATAGAAAGGGGGGAATTTCGTATTTCAGCGGAGAGTAAAAAAGAACTTCGTACATTTTGTACGAGTTCGAAAGGCCGGGAAGAAAAGATGGGACAAAATAAATGGCCCAAAAATAGTAGAGGGGAAAAAGGCCTATAGAAAGAAAAGGAAAAGAAGTAGTGTGTGTGTGTATTTAATTATGGCAAAGCATACTAGGGCTGTCTGCTTAAGGGGAGGGATGCCTTCGTGGAGGACTTTTTAAGGGAAACTGGCTCGTATACACGTTACACATGGGGAAAACCACGAAAACACCCATGCAGCACCCGTTCGCGGGATTCGAACCTCGGACCGAACTAACCACTGTTCAGCGACTTTACCGCTCGGCCGCGTGGGCTGGACAAGAATAGAAATATCCTAAAATACGATTGTGGTGTCCATGAGTGTAGTTAAGAGGAGAAGAAGCTGTCTTCATTACTATAATAGTGTCTCACAGGTATGTGTGTTTGCCAATGCTGAATAGATGTGATACTGGGAAAAAAAATGAGAGTGTTAAAATGCTTCGTATCAAGGTATTTAGCATGGAAAACAAAGTAATATGTATGCTTGCATCCTGAGACACAACAGCAAAAGACCCATAACATCAGACAAAAGTATATATTAATTTAACTAAACTAACTTATGCTATTTTCGTTCAAAATATTTTCATACATTTTTCAAAAAACAGCAGAAGACAAAGAACACAGAACCATACACAATACAAGACCACAACCGCCCTCCCCACACACTAAAAATATATATATGTGTGTGTGTAAATTACAGAGTATATGTATTAAAAACATAAATTAAACATAGTATTTATTAATTTAACTATCATAATTTATTACAAGTTAATTAACGCTAGTTTAACATACTGAGGCACACTGTTATTTATATAAGCTCATAGTTCTAAGAATAAATTTTGCCAATGAAGAATAATCCATCTCTTACATTTGAACATTTAACAGATGGCAAGGAACAGTATGAGAAAAAAATCGGTGAAGTATAATATTCTTTAAGGCGAAAATATATTTAAGCGATCTAAAAAAAAAGGGAAACCAAAAGATACGAGAGGAAAGTAGCATGATGCCCCTAATCCCCAATTTTACCTCTCACGAGATTCCTCAAAACAAGATAAGGGGGGCTTTCTTTGTAAGTGGTGACAGACGTGAACTGATAACGTTGGTGTCTGTTTGGAACTGTAACCACAAAGGAAGGCACAAGCAATGAGCAATTTCAAGTATTGTTTAATGCTAAAAACTGATGAAACATTAAAATTTATTGATTTAAAAGCATTATTATAAAATTTTGTTTCGTTAGATGAAAGAGGTACGTACGTAAATTCAGGCTTTTCATAGAACCTCACAGTCCTTTTTTTCATTCTCATCAACATTGGCTTAAATCTTTGTAGATGTGTAGGTTGTAGAAAAAACACTATTTCAAGTATTAATTGATAATCACTTAGGGGAAAGGAATGTTTTCACTTTTAACAGAGCGCTGCGAAAGTGCAGCCGCTTGCATCGGTGATCGCAGCGCCCTCCCACGTACGTTTCACTGCCGTAATGCAATGTTTTGAAGTTACAAACATGGGCGCCGCTTGTTCGGTGGAGTTTCATTCCCCAATAGTGGAGGAAACTGCAACCCCCCTCATTCTATTCTAACCAACGAGATAGTATACTGAAGTCGTTGATTCTAACCTCCTTGCCTGTTTCGCCCAGCTATCCCGAGTGGTTGCAAGTTCACTGAACTTGCGCTAGCTCTTTTTATCCGGACTGATTGTTCTTAGGATTTTTATTTTATTGTTGATATCAAGAATTAAGGAAACATTTTGCACCTTTTAATTCTATTCCAAATTTTATGATGATGACTGCCCTCCAAATTGAATTCTGGCTCATTTTAAACGCGAAATTTAAATAAAAAGAACTTTTATGAGTTTTTACCTTTTTCCTTATGCAGAAGGTATATCTGAAAAGCTTTTATTTTTATAAATTAGGCTTCTAAATTTTCCCCGTATTAGATGAACCCCTCTTTTGATGTAATTATTTTATCTCTTAATGATGTGGAGTTAAAGGCCTAGCCTAGCGCACTCCGTAAATTAACTTCCTTGATCCTTGAATCTGATTGGAGAATATTTCAACTGCTTTGTTACTTCTACTTCTGCCATTGTTGACAAATTAGTTTCGATGGCTCTAGTTTTTTCTTTCGTTACTACATTGGATTTGAAAATGTAAACTGCTGCATTTATTTCTCATATTTGTGTAATCATGATGTGTTAATATTTCTATTATCTTTGGAGGGTTTCAAGTCGAAATTTATTAGGGATATTTTTTCTTTTTATTTAGTATTTGATTGAAATTTACTGCTTTTAATGTCAAAATGAATTCACCTGAACATTATGTTCCGTTTGTAGAAAATATTATCCAACTTCTTAATTGTTTGGTGAAAGTCTGAAAGCTTTAAATTGTATTTATTAGAATTTTATATTTCGTTTTGATTTTTAATGTGTTTTAAAGATTATGCAAATATTCATATGTATTAGGATAGTGTGTAGTTATTGCTTATAAATTTTAATTTTTATCTCTTTATTGTTGAGGCTAAATAGCTTATAGACGTTGTTAATTTTGCAACCAGAATTAGCATCAAATTCTTTGGCTCATTTTGTGGATTCTGGTAAATTACCAAAATTTTAACATAATGTTATTAACATTGCATTGCATCTAGCATTAAATTTTTAAAATATAGGGTAAAATCCTAGTATACGGTGCAGCCTTGGCGCGACTTATCGCCAACACCAAAAATGATCCAAAGAACGTCTATATACGTACTATACACTATGTACTAAGTTTGTATATAACATAGTATATATACTATATAATAGTTATATGTTTGGAACCGTTAACTACCATCGTAGGTCCCATTTTTACTGCTCTTCATAAAGTCGCCAAATCCCGTGTGCACCGGATACTAGGATTAAACCAAATATGGTAAATGGATAAAATTTTTACTTATGTTAAACATAGCTGTTTAGCAAGAAGTGCTAGAAATCTTATAATTTAAATAAATAGTAGTTAGTAACACCTTAGTTTAAATAGTATTTTCTTGATTGTATTTTAAAATCAGTCCCTTGTTAATTGACTCATTTTCTTTCAGTATACTTCCAACCCGAAATTGCATAGATTAAAATCTGGCAAAAATTTTCATGTGAAATGAATTTAGAAAACCATCCTTCTAATATGGAATTTTACATCCATAATGCCTACTGAAGCCTGTATGATAATTACATTCTGCTGAGAAAGAATAAAATTAATGACGAATGATTAACTATTGTTTAAAAATAAGAGTAGTTTTGCTGTTCTAATAAGAAATGGATTTCCTGATTTGTGTAGTATGTAATGTATTTGATAGCAAGATTTGACATTTTGATGACCCCCTTATTACATATTTAATGGTATTAATTTAGTGAATAGGCATATTAGAGAAGGATTTATTTCTAGAATTAGAATTGAGCCCTTGGAAAGCTAGGAAAATGTAAAGAAGTAATTAAAAATTAGTGAATTAATTTAAATTGATAATAACTAATTAAAATATCTGAGTTCGTGTTATTTGGAGCTCCAGCTGGAGTTATGAGTTTACTCAAAAAATAGGAAGTGCTGGAACCAGGCTTAAGCAGGATATAAGCCTATTAACAGCAAAATTTTCTACTTATCAGTGTTTTATATTCTCAGAAATACTGGCCATTTTCATAGGTGATCATATTAGGGAGATGGTAACCATGAAAGGTTTCCCTGTTTATTATTGAAATGTTGAAACCTTGGTTTTATGTGTGTGGAAGAGAGGACCAAGCCTTAGTTAACATATGATTTGAAAAGTTCTTCAAAATCATGGAGGACTTCTCCAGTTCCAGAAGTATGGTTTTAATGGCTTAAAACATTTGCAATTTCTCTGAAGCTCTTGGCAGTTATTTTTTGCTCTAACATAATAGGTTTTGTATTGAACATAAATCATATCAGCATTATATCAGCAGTTGTATTGAACATAAATCATATCAGGTAAAATCATCATCAAAGTTTTTTATTTTTCCCATTTTTCTAGCCATATAAATGTAAAAAGTGAATAAAATTTGCAAAAGCTTAACTTAATAGTCATTTGGCAATAACATTCATTTCATCATCAAATTATCACAGTTTTACTCACAATTTATAAAAAAATTTAAATTAATACAGTACAAAGTTCAAAATCCAGGCATCCAATATCCAGACCTCTTGACCACTAACCAATAAATACATAAATTAAGAAAAATTCCTCTCCTGCTTACAGAGTCTAAGAATGTTAATACAGTACAAAGTCCGTAATCCGTACGTCCATTATCCAGAATGATCTATAATCTAGACCTCAAAGCCACAAACCTTTTTGTATGCTTTATGCATGCACATGCACGTTGGGAGAATGTGTCTCCAGATACGTTAAAAAATGCTTGGCATAATTTTGCCAGCTACAATTCATGTAGGACGATTGACGTGATAGCTGCAATTGGAAAGTTTCGGACATCCAACAAGGTGAAATTTCATTATTTGATTTTTTAAAAATGTGATAAGCGATTAAATGAGATGATAAACAGAATTTTCATTATGACAACATGCCCCAATCTCATCAACGGCAAAACTGTAGTGTGTTCTAGTCCAGAATTACCGCTTCTGATAGTGAAGAAGTGCTGAAGGTAAAAAGAAAAAATTTGATGACAGTTGTCGTATTCTTGACACAGCAATAAGGACTTGAACCTGGAACTTTGTAATTGAACCAGAGATTATGTGTGTTTATAGATTAAAGAAAGTATTAGCACAAAAATGAAGCAACTTAAACCACTTACATTGATAAATGTTATAAGTAAACAATATTAAGCTTTTTTTTGTATTTTGAACCCTTTAGTCATTTTGCTCTTTATTTCATAAAAAAGTCCGTTTTATGTAGTATTTCATCGCGATGTACTCCGTTTTGATAGATTTAAATCAAATTCCTCGTCATTATAATTCGCTTCTGATAGCGAAGAAGTGCACATACTTAGTCGGTATTCCAACAACATTATAGGATTGAACATTGGAACTTTGTAACTGAACAAAATTATGTCTTTTATAGAATTCAGAAAGTATTAGCACAAAACTAGCAACTTAAACAACTTATTGAAGAATTTTTAAGTAAACAAATATTAAGCTTTTTTTTTTGTAAATTTTGATACCTTTAGATCATAATTGCTCTTTATTTCATAAATTACAGTTTCATATTTTTAATTGTATAATTTCTACATGCCATCTTACCAGATTTAAATTGATGATCTATAATCCGGAAGAACCCCTAATCCTTAATCGCCGAAGTCCCTACGAGTCCGGATTACAGACTTTGTACTGTATAATGCTCAGTAACAGGAAGCAGGTATGCCATAAATGCAACTTTTCTTTTGACTGAATGAGATTCCTGCATGTCACTTACAAATACATGCTTGGAGTTGCATCATGGCCTGTGTCAATATGTTGATTGATGTATTGGTATTGGGCCAGGATCACACTTTCGGTTCCTAATTGGTTGTGTGGAGAGTAGCATTTTTCTGTCTGATCTAAATAATAAGTGAAGCTGAAATGTTGCCATGTCTGCATATCATATTGCTAAATTAATACTGATCTGAAATCTGGAAGTTTCCGGAATCCAGAATTGCTGCAGTCCTGATGATTCTGGATCTCAGACTTTTTATGTACATATATTTATTTAATGTAAGAAAAGCTTAGGAACTAAACAAAAAGGACCTCTGAGGTCAAGAATTTTGCACACGGAGCTGCAAAATTTGAAAATAAAATTAAAAAGGTAATTCTTCAAGCTATAGCCTATGTGTAAAGTGATACTTCATTCCTATGCAAATAAGTATAAACCTAGTAAATCCATGCATATAAGTAAAAACTGAATGTTGAAAAATAAGAAAGAAAAATCTAAAGATGAATGCTTAACTTGATTGGAATTTAAAAGTTAAAAGGTAAGTGTAAGCTATCTCATTACATATTAGAAATAATACAACAAAATATCATATTAAAAATAAATAGAATCACAAGCAGCGGTAAATGGAATTATTAGCCTAATTCGAACATCATCATGGAATTTTCAAGGGAAATGCATATTGATATTCGAACTCTGCTAAATTCCAGAATGCATTTTGTCGAATAGGCATTGAAACTGATAGCCAACAAATTATTTATTATAAAAAGTCCCAATATAAATTTAAAACAGTTCTCAATCTCTGTTCTATTTCCCGACGCGTCCGCTGTGAACTAGTATAAGAGAAATAGTCAATTAATGCAATAAAAGTAAAAAGGCTGTCTGGAAAGGCAACTTTACAGTAATAAAATAAATAGCGAAATTGCTATTAGTAAAAAAATACACAAACTTTATGGGTGAATCTTCTAGTGTAAAAAGATATAAATTAAAAAAAAAGAAGTAATAGTAAAAAGGTCTTAGAAAGAGAAAAAAAGATTGAAATTGGGCCAGTTTGTGACCAAAATTCAAAACTACGAAAAGTTGAAATAAAACATATCTGAATGAAAGACTTCTTTCTACTAGAAGCTGTTACATAAAAATGGCCGAAATAGGGTGTGGAAAGTAACGACAGAGAAGAGTGAAGAAGATGAGAATTAAATTAACCAATTGGGCGATACTACGCCAAGGGGGAAAGACACGTCAGGAAGCAATGTTCAATGAAACGTAACTAATCGAGGGGGACACGAGTCCAAAAATTACAGGTGTGTGTGTGTGTGCTTTTTTCAACATGGCGCCTGTCCTGTGCGAGGTTCAATTTTTGAAAGGAAGGAAAGGTGAATACAAAAAAGGGCTAATTTTATTCTTGGTAAATTTGGCCAACTACAGAAGTTGAAATAGGGAAAAAAGTGCAGTAATTTGTTAGTAAAAGTCTTAATTCTTCAAGCTAGAGGGCTATCATGCTGCCTAGAATCGAAATGTGGCACATAAAATTTAATAACAGGATTGATTTGGCCAGAAAAAGATATCAATTTACATTTAATACAAATTAAGAACAAAGTATTGAATTACTGAGCCAAATGTGGAGAGAAAATTTTTTTTTAAGCAGTGAGAGTGACAAGCTATTCATTTTTACATTAGATCACTTAAATTAGCCATCCACCTTTTGCCTTTCTTTATAGGATTTAAGTAAAAAATATCATTATCTAATTA